ACACATCGCAGATAATAAATATAACTTAAAATGCTCTTCCAGTTTCCGATTGAAATAATAATATATAGTCCGGAATCGAGTTTTATCCTCAATTGTTAGTCCACATTTCACTGTGGTTTGTTGTCGTCCCAGTCGTCTAATACAGTGGTGCGAACTATAGCTTCGGTAACCAAGTAAGGGTCACAGTTTGAGGCGGGACGACGATCTTCCATGTAACCTTTGCCCTCTTCACCAACCTGAAATAACAAAATATACATTGTTTTTGAATAACGTATTTCAACGATATCGAAACATTTGAATAGCCTTCGTGTCACCAATTTTCGTCATTGGTGCGATTTCTATGTTAGGAGAAGTGTATAGTTTCAGTACAGTGATTAATATACTTTATTTTTATTTATTTTTTTAGACGCATAAAATCCTTAGGAAAGGATAAAAAGGGTCTTACAGTAAGAAATTAAAAAAAAACTACAATCTAAAAAATAAAACAAAAAATAAAACTTTTCTAAAAAAAATAAAATAAAACAAATCAAAAACAAAAAAATACAATTTGCAGCCAATGGTGAATTTGCAGCCAATACTATACATACTGCGATATCAAACCGACAGACGCACCCCCCACTCCCTATATTTAGGGGGGGCTATGCTTGTTCCCTCATTTTTTGACCCCCCCCTATCTAGGGAAAAGAAGAAAATTTAACCCCCCCCCTTTCACGGGCTTTTCCGATGTATTTCACCCCCTATCTAGGGAACTTTTCAGTCTAGAACTCCTTTTAAACCCCCCTTTTTTGTATATCTCGGGAAGTGTTTTGAAATACACCCCCTATTTTGAGAATCTCGGGAAAACAAGCAAAAAATACCCCCTTTTCTACGATTTTCTCGGGAAAATGTTCCCGAGACAGATCGTCAAAAAGTACCCCCTTTCCCGAGAAAATGGGAACGCGCATGCGGCCCCCTATGGATCCTGAGTGGGGGGGACCACCATAAACTAATGTTATCTAACCTGGCGGGGAATGCGAACACTGGCACCACGGTTAGCCACTCCTGCACTAAAGTCGTCAATGTGTGAGGTTTCATGTTGTCCAGTCAGACGTCGTCTGTTGTCTTTGCCTCCTTTTGGGTCATATAACCGTACGTGGTGTTGGTGACGTTTGGCGAGTTTCTGGATTGCCTCTTCGATATACCTTCATAATAAAAAAATGAATATACACTGTATTACAATATACATAATACAAATAAATGAATGGTAATAATGCTTTGGTCGTCAAAAGTTATTTGTTTAATCGACGTACTTCCAATATGTGAAAATATAAACTAAACAGCACACGGCGGGGATGCCAGCCTGTCTAGATTTTTCTAATACCAATTTCAGAGGTGGACATATTAATTATTATTATTCATCGGTCACCGTAACGCCGTAAGTTACAGCGTGCCGTAATTTTGCTGTATTTTTAGGGGGTATTTTCTTCCTACCATAAAAGGAAATGCGAATTCCAAATATGGAATGATATAAATATAAACAAACATGGTTGCCACCAGGGTTTGACCGGACTCCACACAAAGAGGTTCGCTGATTTTTGGATTTCGGCATGCCAATGATGTATCTTTGTAGGAAAAAGATGTAAAATAATAATAAAATTATTGCGAGGATACCTCAGAGTATGCACTCAGACAGTACGCCGTGGCAGCGACCTCCGCTGCGCGTCGGTTGATACTCTTGCTGTACTGTCTTCGTGCATACTTTTAGGTATCCTCGTAATAACCTCATAACAGTTTCTATAATAAAGAGTATGGTGTTATTCTGCAAAACCTTACTTGATTCCGCCTTCTTTTCTCATTAGAAGAGTACTGTAGTTACAGTGACAACCAGCACCATTCCAGTCTCCCTCAATCGGTTTTGGATCAAATGATACTATGATCCCATAATCCTCAGCGACTCGTTGGAGGATGTATCTCGCAGCCCATAAATGGTCACCCATATCGACACCAACACAGGGACCGACCTGGAACTCCCATTGTGCTGGCATCACCTCGGCGTTTGTACCAGAGATCTTGACACCGGCAAACATACAAGCTTTGTAATGAGCTTCGACAATGTCACGTCCATACACTTTATCAGCTCCAATGCCACAATAGTATGGTCCTATATATAAAGTGACCGAAATTGATGATGTATTAAATGTTGTCACGAATTACAATTGTTTGGGTTTGAACAAGACGTATGGTTTAGTATAAATACCACTCAATCAAAATCGCGAGTTTTACCCCCGAAATAATCTGACGCATGCGCAGGTGACGACTCCCCCGCTTTAAATAGTACAACCAAGCGGTGTCTCGATTTTTTTTTTTAGAACAGACATTCGAAAAATGTTGTCTCAATCATTATATTTAATTGTATTCATATAACTAGATGATATAAATACATTATTTTTTTCATTCGGGTTTAATTTCTCTTTTCGCCGATAAGTAAAAAATTATAAATTATTGTTTCCTAGCAAATTCGTGAATTTAAACCCCAGTGAATATGCTTAAAATATCAAAGTAGTGAAATTAATTTTCACCGAAAATAAATGGTTGATATATCGTAGATATATTCAGAGCAAGAACAGTCAAAATAAGTTGGAGTTTAAAACAATGTCTAATAATATTTTTTTGCAACGTGTTTATACTGTTTTGATAGTAGAAAATCCCATCCTAAGTACAGCATATTATCCGAAGCTTAAACCGCGATTGTGACGTCACACTATCAAGTCGTGAGGTGACTATCTACGAGAATAACCGCAAACTAATTCCAAAACACAAAAGAGGTTGCTCTAGAACCATCCAGAAATTCCGGAGGGAATATCCCTTCAGTAGTATATTGGTTGGTAGAATGATTTTTGATCTGAAACTGAGATTTTAACTTCCTCAATTTTGAAAGAGGCCTTTTTTCCAGTGACAACCTCCAGGAATCGAGCGTTACTACTGGAGAATCGACGATGTGTCAACAATTAAAAGTATTGTAAGTGTCATATTCTGACCTTGTGGACCTGGGTAGCCCTGTTTCGGCCAACCAAACGGATGACCATCTTGGCCGAGCAAAGTGTATTCTTGCTCCAGTCCAAACCATGGTTCGTGGTCACTTGCCCTGTCCATCACTTTCTTGCATTCATTCCTGTGATTAGTTTCTATTGAGTAGAAATTTTATGTGTAATTATTACAGAAATCTCAAATAATGCTGCGTATTACCTAATGTACAATAGGTGATTTTCCGTTCAATGCGAGAATCCCGCGTTATGCGTGAAATCGAACGTAAAAACAGGACAAACAAAGGTCATAGCGTCGTAGTGGCGTCAAACATCGCGTGGAATTCGACAAACGCGAAGTATTTTGGGGACATTTCTATGCTTAATAATGTGCTGTCCACATTTGATGATAGGCAATTTTAATTAAGTAAGGGTATTCGGAAGCAATATTCCTCTGTCGAAGATCGGCCGGTCGATGTTAGTTACGAAATAAAGAAATTCTAGTTCAAAATCAAATCGTTCGATTTTTGCGGCAGACGTTCGACGCGCGTTTTTCACACATCTCGCGAGATCTCGCTATTGTACGGAAAATCCCATATTCCCGAACATTATTCCCTTGGGGAATGGCGTGCGTTACTATCGCGTAACGATCCGTGTATTTACGGTAGAAATCAAATCGATAAATCGATCGATAATCGATATGTAAAAAACCACGTAATAAATCACATGTTTACCGGTTACACGGCCATCATACTTAAACGTTTCGCATATTACTAGCTTGTTCTTTCCACGCCTGAAAGGGTCTCTAAACATGGCGACCGGTCTCAGATATACATCGCTATTTGACCCCTCGGCCTGCCCTGTGCTGGAACCATCATAGTTCCATACTGGCAACTCTGTAAAAAAAACGAGATTCAAAAAATAATGTACCGTTATATGATATATTCTGTTCGAACGAGTCAACTATATTGACTCTCAAATTTGTTCATCTATCGTCTTGTCCATTCCTTTTTCATTGTCGATATAGCGACATATAGCGTACCCCTATCGCCTTACTGCGGTAGTTAAAACGACCGAGATACGATATATATATATATAAATGTAATAACAGCAAATGAAAACAAAAAATATTAAAAAATAACATTAAAAATTATGAAAATTACAAAAAATCGCCTACATAGGATTATAATCGGATTAGATTATATTAAGGTCTATGTCATCTAAGATAATATTTAATGCTGACTACATAAGCCATGAGTGTATCTACAAACGGATTTCTGTAATTTAAAGGGAATCGAGATCACAATTATGCATACTTTATGCAAATGACTAACCGGGATCGCTCATTTATATTCATACGCTAGCCCATTCATTCACTTATTTGTTTGTTTGTGTGTTTGTTCGTTTGTCTGTTGCAATATGGAAAAGTTAGCCTGTGCACAAATCTAAAAAACAACAGATTACCTTTTGCCGACTTTGGTTCAAAATCAACAGTCCTCGTCTTGCCACGTAATGTCTCTCCACTGCCATCTATCCATATGTACATACATTGTACCATATCATCTGGCTGTTCTAGTTCTAAATACTTCTTGAACAGTGACTTGTCGAGTTTTGCCGAATAGTCCATGCTTATTTGCGCAGATATTACCAAGACCAAAATAATTAATAGAAGTCCGAGTGTCGCTTTGCGTTACAATTATATCCTTTAAAAAACAGGGCAATGAAAAGTCGGTAAATCAAATTTTATATTTAATCGATATTTATTTATATATATGATTTGGTCAAAATAACTATTGACAATTAGATACTATAGAATATATTACACGACATAGCATCAATAATGTATGCCTAAAGTGCGTCAACTTCCGCCTGTCTCAATCCTAAAAATATCTTGACCACGGGATGACTATTTTAAGCAACAAACAATGAAATGACAGATGATACCAGTTTGGTGGCGTGGGAATAACATGGAGGTATTAATGTTAACATTCATTCGGTGAAATGCTAATCGAACCACAGTGTTCAAAAGGGTATATTCTAATTTAAATTAAAAGTCGCACCTTACCAGCATAACGCAATGAATATAGCTTTGTATACTCGGTGGTGTGGCTGGTACGTGATTTTGTGATAGATTGGTGTATAATTAAAATTAGAATAACCTTTAGGAAACTAATATATATGGTGGTAGCTATGTGTCCGATATCACCACTGGTCCTCAAGCGCGAGTCCGACTCTTTCTAATTGGATATGTCTAGGTGGCGAACGGTTTGGAACACTTCTAAACTAGTTAGTTTGCTGCACGAAACGTAAGGTTTTAATTCAAAACAAAATAAGTGTAGAGCTGTTGGACAAAGTCTGACAGGAATGTAATTTTGTGACGAGTGGTGGTGAAACGGTAATTTCTGTCATTGGTGAAACTTTAGTGAGGAAAAAAACATACGTTTGACGTTTTATTAGTAATTCATTCTGACCCAACAAGTGTATTTTCCAATATGGAAAGGTTTATCTGAATGAAAAGCTTTGACGGCTATTTATATTGACATCGTTACGAGAATCAAACGTCTGGGTCCATTTTAAGGTAGAATAGGAGAGGAGCGCTGCTGTATGTGAAAGTCGTGGGTTACACTGTAAACATACCAGTACACGGGAATAATGCCTCACAATTAAAGGGCGGCAGTCGTCGTGCCGCGTCCTGTTCGATATGGGACTCATAGCGACGTATACAACGCGTGTAAAATACATTGTTTATTTACATGAAATTCGAACACGCGCTGCGCGACGACCACCGCGCTTAAACAACCAGGTGATTAATGCATATTCTAATTCTATTTTTGCCAATTTTATCTAAATGCTCTGTGTGCAGATCATTCCATTTTTGCAATTTTTTTTTTCTAAATGTGTGCAAATCATTTTCCCCGCTTTCCCGATTACCCAATGGTCATGATCATAGATGACTTATTAAACAGATCGGATGTCAAAATGAATATGAGTATAAAACTTACCCGATTGTTCCGATCCTCGACGACGGCAATGTGTTCGCTCAGCGGATGTATGGTTATTTAACAGTGACAAATGTCACGTGACTAATTAGCATACACAATATAAACCCATGTTTATCCACGCATTGGACTCGTGTATCTTGCCAGAGCACGAGTTTTATTCGTGATTATAGTTAAAATGACTTGTTTAAAAATGCCCGAGTCTCTGTTGCTAATTTGTGTTTGATTAAATCAATTTTGCGAATCTGAATTGACGTTGATCTGGGGAACAATTCTTCCTAATATATATATTCAGAATTTTCGTCTTTCTAAGATTTTAAAAAGCTTATGAACATTGGGAAAATGTGGTAATTTGTCCAAAATAAGCAAAGAAATTATAAAAAAAAAATCACAAAATATTTTCAGAAAGAATTAAAGCGTACAAAGGTCAATCCAACTTTGTATTGATTTCTGATGCTATTTGTGAGTGTGACGGCAGCGAATGCGGCTTTCGGTAGTGCCCGCATGTGTAATAATAAAGCATGTGGAAGGCGAAAAGCTTTTCAATACAATATTGAATGTGTTAGCGGTCATCTCATACGAAACATCGTCTCTAACCTTATTTATTAACATAATATTTTTATTTCATATATAATTTACATACATGTGAAGACATCGTATTTACATATTGTACTCAATCTGTGGAAATAAAGTATACATGCTTTTGTAGTCTGCTAAAAATATGAATAGCCATGGTATGTCAGGAAATACACACATCATATTGTTAATTACATCGGGAGTGTTGTTATAATAGCATACATTAGGCGTTCAACAGAAATAAAACACATATAGGCAGTTTGGGTATACAAATGATATCTACTGAATGGGAATGTACACATTTTTTGGATAAATAATATTTACATAGACTGTTGGCTTTGAAAAGATTCACAGCCTGGTTAGAAAAATTGTAAAGAAAATACATCGATGTATTGTATACGCTTTGATTGTGTAGACAAATCAGGAAATTATGCATATGTAATTGTTTGGCTAGGAAATAAACAAAATTGGTTGGGTCGGGTTAGAAAAAAATATACCCAATCTTTTTCAAGTTGAGAAAAAATAATTATATACAGAGGGATGTAGATTAAAAAAAGCGGGAGTGTCGTCACCTACGCATGCGTCAGATGGCCATAGCGTGTTTACAAACAAGCGTTTACCCATAATACTTTGCGTTTTTAGCGTGTGTTGTTATTATCGCTTGGGAACTTATTTCACTCATGGCTATTCATATCAATAATTATATAAACAGTTTTAAACGTTTTATATATTATTCACCGCGAAAAAAATTGAGATATGAAGATATAATTCCATCATAGAATTCAATGTAAAAATGCTGACCTCATCCTTTCCCCCACCAAGATGAAAATGCAGCTCCGTTTTGTGTTACAAGAGAAGTAAAGCATTTAGTATCTTGGGATATTTTCGTTTTCACGTTACTTTCCATTATTATCTATTTTATAAAGCGTCATGGACTATTTAAAATTCGGAATAATAATTTACATAAACTATTATAATTTTGAATTCGAATATCGCATTGAACTAAACACTAATGATAATAAATTAAGCGTAGACAATCGTCAAAATACGAAAATGTAAGATTGCAATTGGCGGATGTTGATTATTCATATAATTTATCTTAAAAACAAATTCTAAAGAAGTACATTCGACAGAAAAAGTGACAAACGTTTTTTAGACTTTCCTGACAACAATATCATCATCAACTAAAAGAAACAAGATTTCATCATTTCGAACCTCGGAGCATTCATCTCTGAGGAAGTGTAAACAATATTCCACTTGTTTCAGTGGAGTTGACCGGCGGTAGTCCAACTTCTGATTGATGAAATCCAACATTTTGTTTCCATCTTCCGAATTTTCGTTAAAACACTCTGTTATGTTCATTGTATATGGTCGGCAAGTAATTTCCATGGTGATGCTCGGAAGCTCGCGGCTGCTTAATTCTTGGACTTGACACGAGTGTGGAAAGAAAATATTACTGATTTTCGCACGCTGCAAATACCATTTTTCGATCGCTCCTGTGGAACAATAAGGTGTAACAATCATGAGAAGGCCATCAATCGCCAATATATACGGCGCGTTGTTAATACATTGTATACGGATGTTAAATGATTGACATATTGACGATTGCATAATACTAAAATAACATCAACATTTGCGACCATTGTATTTGAATGAAATCAAATAAATTTCTTTTAATCTTCACTCAATATAAAACATCAAATGATACAAGATCAGTAATGGAAATCACGTTGGCGACAATCCTAATTTTAGTTTTAATAAGTCATTCAAAATAGTCGTTGAATCATTAGCATATGTCTAAGAAGATAATCCACCAATTGTATTTATGTATGAGAACGTTAAGCGGACCCTACAAAATAGACCATTTTTCGTTCACTGCGAGAATCACGCGTTATGCGTGAAATCGAACGTAAAAACAGGACAAACAAAGGTCATAGCGTCGTAGTGGCGTCAAACATCGCGTGGGATTCGACAAACGCGAAGTATTTTGATGGACATTTCCATGCTTAATCATGTGCTGCCCACATTTCATGATAGGCAATTTCGATTAAGTAAGTGTATTCGGAAGCAATATTCTTCTGTCGAAGATCTATCAGTCGATGTGAGTTACGAAATAAAGAAATTCTAGTTCAAAATCAAATCGTTCGACTTTTGCGGCAGACGTTCGACGCGCGTCTTTCATACGTCTCGCGAGATCTCGCAATTGTACGGAAAATCACCTATTACGCTCGCCACAGCTGACTTGGTTGCAAAATGCAGTCGGTACGAGAGGGCACGTTGGAAGAGAGCGCTACGCTATAAAATTGTATGTTTAAGCTCGGAAAGAATGCTATGCAGACTTAAGAACCGCTTCAGACTGCTTATGGATTAAAATGCATCGGCAGAGCATAAGTGTTTCGTTGGCACAAAAAGTTTAAGGGTGACAGAGAGTCTGTGAGAGACGATAGGTGTGGGAGGTTGAGGGAAGTTAGAACACCGGAGCTGATGGGGAAATTTCGTACTTTTAAGGACGAAGACCGTTGGGTTGTCGTGTTAAGCAATTTGATCGTTATTATTGAAAACACTGATTATTGTATTGTCGAAGTTTCTTAAATACTGTACTTTATATATTTGATTACATGTATCATTTTTTGCTTTAAACCACGTCTATAAATAGACATGTTGGTGACATAAGTGCGAACGTGATAGAAAACACCACTTTATTACGCATTTCTATAATGGTAACTTTCGACCAATGAGGGACATTCCCGCCTAGGGTTCAGAATCCCACCGAGCCTATAAATAGGACGCGCAAGTGTTTTAGCGCTAGTCTTTACCGTGTTCTTGTGTTCTACATTTGTTTACATATCTCTTTATGGTAAAATTTCCGATGTATCAGTGGATATACTGTATTGATGTAATAAACTACTCTTACGCGTTTATTACTTACGTATTCGTTTCCTGTGATTGATTTGTTTGCATAGCCTGGCATTTCTTACTTATTTTGAATATAACCCAGTCACGAATCATAACCCCACATGGGTGTCGGTAAAGACAATTATAGTGTAGAGTTCGAAGTCAGTGTGGGAACTGTGGAGTTCATGATGAACTTAACACGCAGAGGATTTGTGTGAAGTTCGTCCCAAGAGTGGCATTTCCACCAGGACAACGCATCAGTCCACAACTCCATCCGTATGTCCAAATATTTGATCGAGGTGGGCATCAAGACAGTTTATCACCCTCCCTACAGTCCAGAACATGCTCCCTGTGAATTATGGTTGTTCTCTAAGCTCAGAGGCAGCCGTTTTGAAACCATTGAGAAACTGAATAAGGCTGTGACAAGGGTCGTGGACACGTTCATGCCAGAGAACTTCCAGGGCCTTCGAGAGTTGTCGGGACGATACAACACGTGCATTGCATCTGGAGGGGGGACTTTGAAAGGGACTAGAGTTTCGTGCTTGTCCGGGGAAAAATGTGTCCCAAAACTTATTGAAGGCACCTCGTATATACTTGGTTTATTATATGCGCTCGCTGACAGGCTAAATACAAAATTTAGACATAACCACGATATATCTTGTATCGAATTTTATAGCTGAGGGCTCGTAGCGACGATAATGTACTAGTACTTCTGTTTTTCTGATATATTTTGCGATATCATTTGTGATCTCGAACAGCACCGTGATGTAAAAGTTCATCTCGGTGATTGGTTATGAATGTGTCATGGCTACATACACTGTACCAGTACCCATATATTACATGTATTTATAAACGCTGAGGCCAAGGCTAATTTAAACGATTGCATGTTATCCCTAAGGTCTATGCTTATCCAGAAAATGGGACACTCTAATAGCTGTTGTAAGAATAGAGTAGATCATAACAAAGGGACTGTGGTCGCGTGATATCTGTACTTCTCCTTGACTACGAAGTTATTGTACATTTAAGTCTCTTCTGAAAACGCTTATTAATTATTGCAAAAATAGTTTTCTAGGCCCAAGTTACGTATTTCAGTCATCAATGTGACACTGATAAGTGAGAATACACCAGAGTGTTAAAGCGAGGGAGTCGCCACCTATGCATGCGTCAGATGGCCATAGCGTGTCATTGTTTACAAACAAGCGTCTACCATGAGCATTTGCGATTTTAGCGTGTGTTGTTATCGTCGCTTGCAACTCAATTCCCGCGCGTGCACAGGTGACGACCCTCCCGCTTTAAGTCAAATTGTTTCCTGTCGTTTCTCCTCTTAAAATAAAGTGACGCGCTTCAATAACCAGACACCCTTCTCCTCATCAGGGGCTAAATCTCACCTGCTGCAACTTTAATAAACAACATGCCATCGTGACGAAGCATACCATACAACTGTGACAACACACTTCCCGCATCTCTGAAGAAATATACACTGTGGAAGGCGTGGATGAGGTCAAAGTTCTCGGAGGCGCCACCTTCTGCGAGATATTCGTTGATTCCTTCTTCGTGAAAGTCAAAAGTCACGGAGTTCCATCGATTTTCATAAGATTGAATCAGCCTCTTGAAGTCATTTAATGGACTGCTAGCAGGCTCAACAACACAATAATGTATGTCATCATAGGTGTCCAGCAAAGTGTTAATCACAAATTGATCAACCTCCCCTGTTAGCAAAAAAAATGTTTTCAACATTGCAACTAACTGATTGATTAATTTATCAATAATTATTAATATGTCTAATTAACAAAAAACAGTCAACCATATTGGAATACTAGTAATAAACACAAAATTGTATGATATAATACCATAGGTTTAACATGATAAACAACATTTCCCTTAAAATGTAATTATAATCTACATCGTCCATTCTTTATAATTGGCATGGACACTGACAAATTGAACGGGGACTATGTCATTGATTTGTGAAAGTTGACTTCGGCGTTATCACTACGACTTACCATTGCCAGATCCTATTGCAAGAACACGGGGTTTCTTCGACACACCTAGTCGTAAAATATCTGCCATTTCTTGTTTATAATTATCTTCCCTGGACTTCAAACCATGGTCCATCATTGTCTGGAATCTCTCGTTATATTCCTTTGTGTATTCCGATAATGCTCGAACTGATTTCGCCATAATTGTCGTTGTATTTTGCAACTGTGTATACAAAAGATAGACAATGACAGAAGCATATACTATTTTCAACGATTGTCCACGATTACGCAATGATTATCAAGAGTTAGCAATTAGTGACGTCAATATGTGATATATTTTCGCTGTATTGGGTTACAGGCCTGATGAGAATATGTATTTTCAGTGATTTCCCAGTAATAAATTGACAGATAGTTCCAGAATTTACCAAATATTTCAGAAAAATAAGTAACAATAATATACATTGTTATAGACAGTAGTTGCCTTTCATTGCTTTTTTAAAAAAAAACTATTAATAAAAATAAAATTAATAATAATAATAATAATAATATCCTACAATGAAAAAAATTACATGGCATTTACTATCGACACAACAAATCCATTCCCTTCATATTTGTAAATATTTATAAATTTCACAATTCAAATGGAAGCGACCTCTATGGACAACAGATGTATTTATAAAAGAGTATGGAAGAAATCCATATACCCTAATAGTTTGAAAACGGGGCATGGGTGTCTGTCACCATTTTGTTTCACAAATTATGCGAAGCGAAACAGATCATTCATGTTAAACCTCAGAATTATGTTCAATGATAAGGCAATCGTTTTCTGGAAGCTGACTGAAAATAATTTTACTTCACGCGCGATTTGAGCAAAATTCAAGATGGCGCCAAGCACGATTCGTGTGTCGCCGCTGATCAGAATTATGCGGTCGTTGATTGGCTGGTGACCCGTACTGTCAAGAGTTTGGCTGATGTATGAACATGAAGCTTTCGATGATGAAACATTTTTAAACCTGGGAAATATAATATGTATTTCCAGAAGATTTTTAATTAGTTTCTATGAGTCCAATTGTTAATGTCCCTAAATAGACCACAATACTATTTTGTATCGAATTGTAACAATCTACCGAGATGAAAAAAATAAGCACATTTGTGTACCATAACGTAAAGGTGATACGACAGTCAATGACACTAAGGCCACACTGATTTAATTTTATGGATGACATCCTCTGAAGATCCCAAAACTAATGCGAGAGGGCGAAAAAAAAAAAATTCGACCAAAAAAAAATGCTACTAAAACCACAGGACTACGGAGCAATTATTACGAATTTAACCACAGTGTATCAAAAAAACAACAAGTCTTTATTTGTAGGAGGCACATGCTGATGTACACATTTCGTACTGTATTACTGTCACAGGTATCAGCTTTGATTTTGAAAAGGCAAGAGGATAAGGCAGATGTTAGCTTTGCCAAAGGCATACACATCAACTCAATAATAAAGAAAAACTTACTGTGCTGTATTGAAAAAAAAATAATTAAAAATGAACAATAAGTTTGTCAACAGCAGTCTGGAAATTAACTTCTTTGACATTCAAACTACAACTTTTAAAGTGACACTTCAGATAGACTAAAGCATAAGTGTAGACACAAATTCTTTAGAACTACTTCAACTATGTAACAAATTATAAGAGGCTCGATATTGAAAAAAAAAACACCAACAGAGAGTCAACAAAAATTTGGATGCAGAAAATTATGTACATGTATCTTGATGAAAATGCGTCATATGATCAAAATATTACTGAATGTGTGTGCAAGCAAATTATCCGAATCAGAAAATGAAAAAAAAATAATAAGAAACTTTCTTCACCCCGTAAGG